GCAGCGAGTGCGTCTGGGGAAGAATGTCTCGGACTCTCGGATTATAAATACAGGAGCCCCACAGGGCTGTGTTCTTTCTCCCCTACTCTTCTCCCTGTACACCAACCACTGCACCTCCAGCCACGACTCTGTGAAGCTGATCAAGTTCGCGGACGACACCACCCTCATTGGACTCATCTCCAACAACAATGGGTTGTTGGAGATGAGGGAGGGAGGTGGACCGGCTGGTATCCTGGTGCAGTGGTAACAACCTGGAGCTGAACGCCCAGAAGACAGTGGAGATGATTGTGGACTTCAGGAAGAGCACTGTCCCCTCGCCCCCACCCTCCGTGATGGACTCCCCCCATCACCTCTGTTGAGTCCTATCGTTTCCTGGGCACCACCACCCAGGACCTCAAGTGGGAGCCGACCATCAGCTCCCTCATCAAGAAGGCCCAGCAGAGGATGTACTTCCTGTGGCAGCTCAGGAAAGCCAAGCTGCCTGCACAGATGTTGGTGCAGTTCTACACGGCCATCATCGATTCCATCCTCACCTCCTCCATCACCGTGTGGTTCGCTGGAGCCATAGTCAGGGACAAACAGAGACTACAGCGCATTGTGCGCTCTGCAGAGGAAGTGATCGGCCGCAGCCTTCCATCGCTGCAGGACCTGTACGTCGCCCGAGCTCGAGGCCGGGCTGGTCGTATCACAGCCGACCCCTCTCACCCTGCACATGGACTATTCCAACCACTCCCCTCAGGCAAGAGGCTGCGGTCCAACAGGACTGGAACCTCCCGCCACAAGAACAGTTTCTTCCCCTCTGCTGTTGGACTCTTGAACACTTCTTAACCTGTCCCCTGTCGCCCTTTATAAAGTCACTTTACTGCCCATCATACGTCACTTTACTTCACTGTACTGCTGTCACCTTACATTGTGTGCACTATGTGCACTTGTATATTGTATATAGTAACTGTAACTCTATTTTAAATTTAAATTTATTCCTTAGAAGTATTTTTTATTTTTTATTATCTCTCTCTGACTGTTGCACTGAGCCAAAGCAATTTCCAAGTCTGTGACTTCCTGTTACTTACGTGGCAATAAAAATTATTCTGATTCTGATTCTATATTGTAACTGGTGATGCAACACTGAATAAAGGATCTTTTAATCCTAATCTTTAAACGACAGCTGTGATGTCATAAGTGCAAAGTAAATAATTGCACAAGGAAAGCAGTTTCCAACAAGGTGAATGTAAAGGAGGTGTCATATGATCCATGTGTTGGGAAGACCCGGGTGACGGCAGGATCTGGGGCAGCAGGACCAAGGTCAAGGGTGTAACTCGGAGGGAAGTTTTTTGATTTAAACTCTTTATTGCCTGAAGATAATTGAGGTAAAAATGCTTGTCTATAATTTCAGTTGTCCCTCAGTGGTAGAAAGACTGGGGTTCCACTGGAGCAAACTCCACCAGGGTTCCAGCTGTAAAATGTGAGTTTGACGACAATGGAAACGCTGTTGTGGTAAAGCCCTGAACAGATTAACCACGGTTTAGTGACACAGGCTGAATCCGACAAGACTCTCAAGTTCAAGGATTTAACAGTAGCTTACATTATACCTCTGTTTCCACTAACCCTGCTCTGCTCTGCTCTGCTCTGCTCTGCTCTGCTCTGAGGACCCGCTACTGGTTAGCAAGGACCAGAGGAAAAGAGTAGAGTGGATCCGTGGGAGCGGATCTAATTTGCATAAACGTTTGTTTATTGAGACAATTTTTTACACAGGTTTTTTGTGTGTTTTTCCAGATCCTTTCCACTTAAAGCTTTCCTGGTGGAGACTCCAATATTAGATCAGGTCAATTGTTGCTTTGCCTGAAAGGAATGTTTTTTTTCCTGAAATTAATGTACCAATAGCTATAAGTGTTTTTAACATTTGAACTGTCTCTAATCTGTGTTGGAGAATCAACAGCTTTGTAAAGTCCTCTGAGATAACTACTGCTGTGATTTAGGGCTATACAAACATTTTATTTAATTCATGTACTATGTACCACATGTCTTCTATCACTTCCAGGTACATCCAAAGCAAATCAATGGCAGTAAGCAGAATAGATACTCAAATAGCAAAGTAAACCCTCTCAGTATCGCCTTAACAGGATTGACAACCTGAGCATGCATGTCTACTATAACTTTAATTAATCACACTGACTGTTGTGTGGGTGGGTACCTTGCAGAGTCTGGTAGAGGCCCCAGTAGATGCGTAGACAGTTCTTCTCCTTCTTCATGCCTCTCTTGCAGCGACAGTTGTACAGCTGGCTCTGTTTAAGAGCGTCAATGGTAGCACGGCACTCGTCCTTGCCCTCCAGAGAGCCCCCCTGGCTGAGGTTAGTCTCTTTTCCCCCGGAGGAGCACTGCCTCATGGTCCGGTACCTGGAGCTGCAGACAGGCTCCCTCAGGCAGTGCTCACTGGCCCTCACGCAATCCATCCGTGAAGAGGGGCCCAAGAGCTGAAGGTCAGAGGCAACGGACACCGCCACTGTGTGAAAGCAGACAGTGGCAGTTACATAAACAAACTTGTAATCCTTTATTTATTTATCTAAACTACCAATGCAAACTCAATTACAATCAGATTTTTCATATCACAACAAAAAAGTACAGAACAAGAAACTACTAAAAGCAGAGTATGATGACCCTACATAGTCTAGTGCAATAAAAAGACAGGGTGAAGAATAGGCCAGGTGAAGACGGCAGTAACTCCTCACCAACAGACCCCCGCCCAGCTGCCTTATCATTCACGGAATATCGCGTTAGTCTAACAAGTAGGTCACATGGCGCCGTAAAGATGGCGCCGTGGCAAGAGCTCTGGTGTGTGTCGTCTGGTGCACGCCGGGGTAGTCTTGCACAGTTTTTCCAATGTGGTTTTACTGCAAATGGCAAATAAATGAATCTGAATCTGAATCTGACATGTTATTCACAATGGTCTTTTCAGGTTTTACCATGTAACAGTATCCCCAAAACAAACCAGCCCCTTGAGTTTATATTAAATGAAGTTGACATTTTTTGATCCCAATATACTATAATGAGGCAGGAATGACCCTACTAACACAGGGTCAGTGTATTTTTTCCAATTAAAATTGAAAATGAAACATCTAAAAAAAAATCTTTTTGACGAGGAAAAGGAAAAACTAAAAATTGGTTCGATATGTGATTTTTTGTTTTGATGCAAAAGGTCGTTGGCTGTGCACCGTCATCTTCATCCAGTTGGAAATAGCAGAAATCAGGGAGGCCTCAATAGGCGGAGGCTTTCTATCAAACCATGCCCATATGCATGGTTTGACAGAAAACCTGCAGCCACAGCGTCCCTTTAGGAATGAGTTGTTAGATTTAATTTAGTTAATGTTTTAAAAATGTTACCCAAAGGTACAGCTAAAGTCAGGTACTATAGGTTGCGCTCAGGTTGTATAGAGTTCTGTTTCAGTTGGAAGCCAATATAAAAGTTGCCTAAATTTGCCTTCTTCAAATGCTTTGTTTCCATTAAAGCATTTTGTATCGAGCTAAATGTCAAGATAAGTCTGGGTGTAATGTCTCCCTTTGAAGTCTACTAAATGGAGGTAATACGTTTTCATAAGGTTTAGCATAACTCCAGGTGCTGTGGCAAACAGTGGATCTTTTCTCTAACCTCTAAAGGTTCACATTAATCCGGTACAAGAATACAAATGAGCAATATTTAGTTATTTTAATTTTAAAATGTAAGTAAACTCATACACACATGATCCGTATATATATAAGAATAAAAGAGCAGTACAAAGAGCGTACAATTACATATTTACAACCGTTCATCTATTTGTCTCTCGTCTATTATAAACCCTGGGCAAGATTCTACAATACAGTTGAGCACGACAAAACGAGTCCAAGATAAGTAAAATGTCCCTTTCCGTTGCTTTGGCTATGCATGCGCACACTCCGAGCGCCTGCCTGATCACTCCGAGTCAGCTGTACTGCAGCTGAGGTTTAGGTAGCGGTTGTTTGTCTGGTCTCGGAGTCTGTTGTGCGGGCCCGGATCCGTACTAGCTTAGCCTAGCCTAGCTTAGCCTAGCCTAGCCGCTAACTCGCTACTATGGCGGCTGCTGTCTCTCCCTCAATCCTTTACTGCTCGAGTTGCCATATGGCGAGTCTAAACCCTGGATCCTTCCCTGAGGGTAGTGATAGATGTGTGAAGTGTAGTGTAGTCGTAGCTCTGGAATCCAGGGTCAGTGAGTTAGAGCTGCGTCTCCGAGCACTGGAGTCTCGAGCTAGCGCTAGCATTAGCTACAGCCAGGCCGTATCCTCAGGGACAGCGGAGCGCAGCTTTAGGGAAAGGCAGAGGAGAACTAGCGAGCCTAGCCTCCCAGCCCGTCCTCCGCAGCTGGGACAAGACCAGGATAGTGATGGCTTTGTGACTGTTCGGAGAGGGCGACGTGTTGTTGGTAGTTTCCCCATTGGGCCTCCTCCTGTTAGCATTTACAATCGCTGGGACGCTCTGTCCGGCTGCGCCCCCGCGCGGCCGGGCGGGGAAGAAGGCCCCACTGAGAGAGCCGCTGAGAGAGCTGCTGAGAGAGCCGATGGAGTCGCTGATGCGCTGGTAATTGGCTCCTCTATTGTTAGAGGTGTTAAGATCCCAGGAGCCACTGTTCGGTGCTTCCCTGGGGCCAGGCTTGGTGATATTGAAGGGAATCTGAGGCTCATAATGACCCACAAGCAGCGTTTCCGTCGAATTGTTATTCACGCGGGTGGTAATGACGTTCGGCGGAAACAGTCCGAGGTGTTGAAGCTGCAAGTCGCCGCCGTGTGCAAGCTGGCTAGCACAATGGCCGACACTGTCATCTTCTCTGGGCCCCTACCTAGCACTAGCAGTGCAGAAGCATTCAGCAGACACTCGGCTTTCAACCGCTGGCTGTCTGGCTGGTGCCCTCGAAGTGGTGTTGTTCATGTTGACAATTGGAGTGCCTTTTGGGGAAAGCCCGGTCTCATCCGCTCGGATGATATCCACCCAACGTTGGCGGGTACATCCCTTTTGGCTAAGAATTTGGCCCTGGCTCTAAACTGTTCTGCTCGGCTCAAATGACGGTGCAGAACTGAGGCCCGGGTGCAGAGCTGCTCTGCCACAACCTCTGAGCCCCCATCTGTTCAGTTACTAGCCTCAGAAGCTAGTCAGATTGAAACTGTGTGTGCATGTGTGTGTGTGCCTGTGTGTGCTCAGTTACTAGCCTCAGAACCTAGTCAGATTGAAACTGTGTGTGTTCCCCGCTTGAAGTCTAAAGCACTATATGCGAGGAAATCTGACCTAGGTGTCAGACACAGTAACTTAATAAAAGTTCAGACAGACAGAAATAGTTCTAGCGGTAGGGTTGTTAAATGTGGTTTAATGAACGTCAGATCAATCTCGTCTAAATCGCTTCTCATAAACGAACTTATTATAGACAAGGGCTTGGATCTGTTTGCGCTCTCGGAGACTTGGCTCCAGCAGGACGAGTACGTTAGATTGAATGAGTGCACTCCTCCGACGCATGTTAACTACCAGAAAGCCAGAGCTACAGGTCGCGGCGGTGGTGTTGCGATTATATCACACACCAACTTGGTTCTTAGTCCCAAAACCAACAACGCTTTTCACTCGTTTGAAAACTTAACACTTTCAATCACCTGTCCTGGGTGGAGAAAACAAAAAGCGGTACTATTTATAGTTTTATACCGACCTCCTGGTCCTTACAGCGAGTTCCTAACAGAATTCTCTGACTTCATTTCAAACCTAGTTTTGGAATGGGAAAACATAGTTATAGCTGGAGACTTCAATATGCATGTGGACGACAGCACTGACAGCTTAAACAAAGCTTTCAGCGCCGTACTAGATGGTGTTGGTTTTACTCAGAATGTCGAGGAACCTACTCACATTCATAACCACACCTTGGACCTTGTCCTGACCTACGGCTGTGATGTCTCCAATGTTGACATCCAGCGTCAAAGCTCGTTGCTGTCTGACCATTTCTTGATCACGTTTGATCTCGCTTTGGAGGACTTTCCTGTCCCGCAAGATAAAACCATAATGAAAAGAACCTTAAATGATAAATCTATCACAAGGTTCAAAGAACTAATACAGCCTATGTTGAATACTGCTGCAGGTGAACCTGTTCACAGCAGCTGCAGTCCCTCAGTCATTGACCAAACGGTGGGCAACACTATGGAGTCTTTAAAATCTGCATTAAATGCAGCAGCTCCTTTAAAACAGAAAACCATTAGGATTAGATCATCGTCGCCCTGGTACAGTGTTCAACTCCACACTTTAGAACAGGACGTCAGAAAATTGGAGAGGCTATATCGCCACTCCCACTCGGAGCCTGTCCACAGGGAGTGGAAAGCAGGTCTCCGAAACTACAAGAAGGCCCTTCGCGGGGCTCGAACTCAATACTATTCAACTTTAATAGAAGCGAATAAAAACAACAGTAGATTTTTGTTTGGTACCGTCGCTAAACTCACAAACTGCCATAGCGCAGTCGAGCCTAAAATTCCAAGCTCACTGAGCAGTGTCGACTTTCTCCACTTCTTTAATAATAAAATTACATCCATCCGTGACAAGCTGGAGGAGGTTGCTCCTGCTGTTAGTGGTGGACAGGTTGAAGCGGCATACGTGACTTCCCACTTAGACTCTTCAGTGGGCCTTAATAAATTCATGGCTGTGAGCCAAGCAGAGGTGATCTCTGTGGTCACATCCTCAAAAGCCTCAACTTGCATGTTAGACGCAGTCCCGACATGGCTCTTCAAAGACATACTTCCTTTGATAATTGAGCCTATCGTAAATATAATAAACGCATCCATACAATGTGGCTATGTCCCACAAGCTTTTAAAACCGCGGTAATCAAACCCCTTCTGAAGAAAACAAACCTGGACCCAGAAATACTTACAAACTACAGACCGATCTCAAACCTCACTTTTATATCTAAAATCCTGGAAAAACTTATAGCTGAGCAGCTCCGCTGCCACCTGCAGGAAAATGATATGTTTGAAGTCTTTCAATCAGGATTCAGAGCTCATCATAGCACTGAAACGGCACTAGTCAAAGTCACAAATGACTTACTACTAGCTGCCGATAATGGACAAGTGTCAGTGCTGGTCCTACTGGACCTTAGTGCTGCATTTGACACAATAGACCACAGCATTCTACTGCAGAGGCTAGAATGTGATATAGGTCTTAGAGGAACAGCCCTTGGCTGGTTTAAATCCTATTTATCAGATCGCTATCACTTCGTCAATGTGAATCAGGACTCGTCGCCTTATTCTGGAGTGGAATTCGGTGTGCCGCAGGGTTCGGTACTCGGACCGATTCTTTTTACTCTCTACATGCTGCCACTGGGAAACATTATTAAAAAGCATGGAATTAATTTCCACTGCTATGCAGATGACACACAGCTTTATCTGTCGATGAAGCCTAATCAGACAGATCAGCTAGAAAAGCTCAGTGCCTGCATAAAGGACCTTAAAATGTGGATGACTCTTAACTTCCT